ATTAGAATATATTACGAATGTTCGACGTCATTAGACAGTGTATATTTCTATAATGAAAGGAAGTAAATAAACTAACTTTATACATGGTATATAATTAACTGTTTTTTCTCTTCTTTACTATTTTAAAATAAGACCTTATTAAAGGTATGGTAGCTCATTAGGCTTCTTATTGCTTTTCTCTATTCTATAATAGTAAACAAAGAGAAAAATAGTTAATTATATACCATGTATAAAGTCATTTTATTTACTTCCTTTCACTTTAGAAATATATACTATCTTTTTCTTTTATCTTAAATTATTTTATTGTTCCAAAAGAGGTTAACAATATTAACATTATCGTGTTGCATGACAATAAATAACGAGAAACAAACAAAAATAAATAAGTTTCAAAAAAAAATATATTCTTAGCATGCAGTTTATCACTTTCTTCATTTTCCTTCTTACAAATAGACAACCTACTACAAATTCTTTGATATAATATAGAGAGAAGGAAAAACACTGAGAGCAGAAAGCATTTTAAAAAAAGAATAAAGTTACAAAAACAGTTTAAGAAGCAAAGAATTTATTGTCATTGCAATTAAATGTGATTACTTAGTTGTGTACGTATAACTAGAATGTTTATGGAAAATACTTAAGTGCGAATCATTCTAGGATTGCAGAAGAGGTTTTAAACGGGTAGAGTTGGCGTTTATGAAGATTGTGAAGCGTTAACCAGTCTAGTTGAGGATGCTTAAGCCTTTATCGCTAATCTTCTAGGAAATTTAGCGTTTTTTCTGAAATCCATTGATTTGTAGTAAAGCTTGGAGGGGGAGGTAGCAATTCTATAAGCTGTCCATGTTTGTTGGTATATAACAGCGTCCCATGATTCTTCTAGATGTCTTTCGAATTTGCTCCAATACTTAAAAATGTAGTCTTTTATCGGGTATTCCCTAGCAACCACAAGTGTAGTCAGGTCGTCCCAATCTCACAGACTATATACAATTCTTAATCCTGTACAATACACATGTTCAATGGAACTTTGTTGTTATTCTGTAAAATAAAACCATGTGGCAAAAAGCCAAATAATGTGAGGGAGCGTGTGCGCACAAAATAGTTTTCTTCGAATTTTGATTTCTTCTCTAGGGATAGATTTAAATGTAGGAATATATACTATCTGATGACGTTTAACATTCGTAATATATTCTAATAATAAAAAAGAAAAAATATTTCAAAACTCATTTCAATTTAATGAGAGAATAAGATTTAGTAGAATTTAAAAAATCGATAACAGAGATAGCAAAAATTAAAATCAAAGATGATTAGTCTTTTTTAGGGATTAGATTTAATCATTTTTACAGTTTATATCTAAATATTATCTGCAAGCTGATGAAAGATTTTTAGTTGTGGTTAGTATTTTCTACAATCGAAAAATATTTAGGTTAAGCGTAGAATAAAATCATTAATTCTTTTGATACTTCCTGGTACGATTCGATGATGTTCAACATAAAAAGTAAATTCTAAAAGTATTAACTTTTTTCTTTTTTTGTATGCTAGGCTCTTTTCTTCTGTGCTGTCGATATATCTATCTATCTATTTTGCAAGCACTCCAGAGTGTAGTAATAAAGATCGCATAATTCAAGAAAAATTAATTCTTCTGATACCTCCTGGTATGACTCGATGATGTTCAACATAAAAAAGTAAACGTTCTTTGATCTTTATAATGAAAATATGCATTTATCTGAGAGTCTTATCTTTTTCCAGTGACTAACTATCTATACTCTTGACTGTGTAGCAGTAAACTTTTACGGGTTAAAATAAATCAAAAGAGAAGTAGTTTTCAGTAGAAAACATATTTTGCATTTTTGCGGATTTCTTCGTAAAGTTGAGTCAAAATGGACTGTTTTTAAATTGAAGCTGAAACACATGAAAATAACAAAAACATAATAAAAAGACTTTGATTTTTTATCTAGACCGTCATTCTTTTACACTGTTGAAAGTTATATGCCAGTTTTAGTTACATGGCAGTTTCTTTCCTATTTTTGAACTTTAAGATAAAATTCTTTGGAAAATAAAGCAAAGAAAATATAATAAATTCAGCTCTCTTGCGTCGTTACCCTAACTTAATTTGATATTTTGGTTACCGAGATAGGTTGAATTCAATTATTAACAGCTTTATGCTTGAAAGGAAAGTAGGATGTAGACAAACCATTCCCGCTCGAAAGGATAACGTTGTCTTGAGAAGGTCGAATGGTAGAGTGAAGTGTAGAATGTATGAACTAAGTTGATTTAAAACTTTTTATTGAAACCTTTGTGGTACAGAGTTTGACAGTACTCATTATCGATGTCAACAACGATTTACAAAAATGGAATTAGAGTATCATCTAATTAAGTTCATCTTGGTCATATATTAATTTGATAATCTGCTATTACTTCTGTGCTGCAAGTACTCGGTCATTTTTTATGATTATTGTACTGATGATTCTCCTTGAATCCCAACGGCAAGAGCATTTCATCTGAACAACAACAACAATCGACATTTTTGTATATTGAACTTATTATTTATAAAACAGCACAGATAAATATTAAATATTATTCATTATGTTTGTTCAAGTATTATATGGTGGTCATCGATTGATTCACTTGCTTGAATATTTTGACTAAAGCCTGGATTCTAAATCATCCTCTGCCCCTTCTTCCTAAAAATCTCTTAGAAAAAAGTAAGAAAATCGTACAAAACCAATAAAGATAATTGGAACGATAAAGTTATTACTGCTAAAGTAGAAAAACTTTCATAGGAATCTATCTGTATACCTGATCTTTGTGTGAGACGCTATTTTTGTTGTTTCGTAGAGCAGTAACTGCTAGAACTGGCGTGAGCGCAGCTCAGAAGCCGTGAAATCACAGAGATTAATTTTCAGCAAAGTGATGAGCGGCTCTTCCTGTTCCGATATGAACAAATCGCTCCCTAATAATCTTCAAGTTGTATCTCTTTGATCTAATAATATATTTGCTACTCATTGAAAAAAATTGTTAAGGACAAGTTAGGCACAAAGTTTTTAATCCAAAGGAAAACAGTCCCAGATCGATCTCGTATGAAAAATACCAAATAATCTAAGGTGTTGCACCATTAGTTACAGTACGACGAGATGATTTTGTTAGAGGAGTAAAATTCTGTTACGTTTCTTGTCTACTTTGTACTCTATATCTTTCAAATACATCCAGAGCTATCTACTCCTTAGTCGAGAAGTTTGTACGAATTCTCACGCAAAGTCCAAAAAAAGTTCTAAGAGATTCCGTTTTGCGTGAGAGTTCACTTAGAATCTCACGAAAGTCTATCCAAGAGAGACATTCACCTTTTTGCTTCGTCAGGTTACATACTATATAAAAAAACTCCAATTTTATGACAGAAGCTTTTAAACTATATAGGAATTTTCTACCGAAAGATCAGCTCATACTAGCCCTGATCATCAAAAAATAATATGAAAGACTCAAATACTAGAATGGAATGCTAAAATAAAAATTGGTAAAAGAAATATCTGCAGAATTTTGGACTGGGGACGTCTTGACTTGTTGAAACATAGGATACTGAGTGATACTTTTGCAACCGCATTAGTTTTAAACAATTTGGCTTTTAAAAATGACGCTTATATTAGTATTCTGCATGTTTCTCTAATCTGTTCTGTTGTGGGAAAGTTTTAGAATGGCAGCTCAGTCCATTTTACAAATCAAGATGCTAGAAAGCTGTGTGCCTGTCTCTCCCTCTTCTCGTTAAAAAAGAAAAAGTTAAAAAACTATTATTTCAACAGAGGTGAAAAAAAAGATCATGTGCATTCAAAAGATATAGAGAATCAAAGTAGAGAAAAAAAATGACGGAATTTCGCTCTGCTAACAGAATTACATCGTAATTCTTAGTATGATCCTTACATGACTTTTAGAGAAGTACTATAAAATCATACCATAAGATGCATGATGTTTGAGTGGCATAGATGCATACTTTTATTAATTATAGAAAAAGTGGTTCTGTTTATTCCTTTATTTACTTTATAAACACAAAAATCAAAATGTGCAACTGAATGTGTAAAATGTCTAATTATATAAATAATTGAGGTCAAAATTGTAATGAAAAGCTAATTAGACTATAACCGGAACTTGCTGTAGTGTAATTTTTCTTGTTATTTTTACTGTGGTTTTCTTTTTCTTCCGAAATTCATTTTGTTTTTAACCCTCACATTGCCGCATGAAGTCTGTGCAGACACTAGGAAAGAAACGAACACGGTTCGAGTATAAGGAATACAATTGTGTGCTACTTCGTTCTATTTTTATCTGTAATAGTAATAAAGAGTGATGCGCTTCGTTTACTTCTTATTTGTAGCCTCTCGACTTTTTTATGTATTCTTATAAAATGAAGTATTAAGTCTAGGTTTTTTTTTATTCCTGTTCTTATACTTTTTTGTAAGTGTTCATACGGCGAAAATAAGTTAATACTAATTGATGTGTATTTTTTTTATTAAGCTTTTTCTCATTTGTGTGAATGTATTTTATCTTTATTTTTGGGTATTTCTCTATGTTGGGGGAGGATCCAGGATTTTTCTAAAATATGTGTGAATAACAGGAAAGTTTTGAAGGAATGTACAATAGTCATAAAAGAAAAATTTTCAGATTTCAGTCCACTGAGTGAGATTGAATAGTTTCTCTTATAGTACATAAGGTAGCGTGTACCTGGAGGATAAATGAGTACTTTCATAGATTTGATTAAACGCCTACTGGTGTTCGTTTTGACAGCTCAAAAACAGAATATAGCTTCAAGTAATATTTCCGTCTTTGAGTCTCATTTTTAGTCTCTTTAAACTGAAACACGTAGAACTACAACTTATTTATTTAAAAAAAAACTCATATTCCATCTGTTGATATGTTTTTGTTTCTTCTAAATGTTATCTATATATTCCTTTTTTCCTTTTAGTTAATAATGTTGTGAAAATCGAATGACGTTATGGCCAAGTTCATTCTATCGTTTCTTCAGAATGCGTACATGTAATCGTTGTCTATGTTTTATTCTTTTCATAACATTAATAATCGTTGTTGTTCTATCTTATCTCATAAACGGTGTCAACGATTCATTAATATCATCAGATATTTTAATTAAACAAAGAGAATGTAATAATTATTCAAGACCGATTATATTTATTGGTGGAATGCCAAGATCTGGTACAACATTGATGCGTGCCATTCTAGATTCACATCCATTAGTCCGATGTGGGGAAGAAACACGAGTTGTACCAAGAATTCTTAGTATGAGAAGTGCATGGAAAAAATCAACGATTGAGTGGAATAGATTAATTGCTGGTGGTATAAGCGAGAATATGCTTGATTCAGCTGTGCGTGCATTTGTATATGAAATTCTTGTTCAACATGGTGGACCGAATGTTGATATTCTTTGTGATAAAGATCCATTTGTTTTAAAACATGCTGTCTATATGACAACATTATTTCCAAATTCCAAATATTTATTGTTAATTCGAGATGGACGAGCCGTTATTCATAGTGTTATGATGAGAAAAGTGACTATAACCGGTTTCAGTCTAACGGATTATAAACAAAATTTGAAATCATGGAATAATGGAATCGATGTTATGGTTAAAGAATGTACAAAAATAGGAAAAAATTGTTTTTCTGTTTATTACGAACAATTAGTTCTACAGCCTCGAGTTACAATTGAAAATATTCTTAAATTTTTAAACATTCCATGGGTCGATAGTGTATTGCATCATGATGAATTGATTGATAAAAAAATATCCTTATCAAAAACTGAACATTCAAGTGATCAAGTCATTAAACCGATTAATTTAGAAGCTTTAACACGATGGGTTGGCCATGTGCCAGAAGATGTGAAGGGAAATATTGATAAATTAGCACCAATGTTAAAACAATTGGGATACGATACTAAATCGGCTCATCCAACGTATGGTATTGCCGATCCACTAGTTATTAAAAATACAAATAATATTCAACAGAATGCATCATATTGGAATCAAAAAATGAAACAATATGCGAGAAAATTGCCATTTCAAACATCAAAGAAAAGCGTATGATTTTATATTATTTTGTTTTTGTAAAACAGTGTTATTGTTGTAAATAGTCAGTTTTTCTTTGTTATATCCTTGTTATAAAGGATTTTGCTTGTTGTTTGTTTGTTCAATCTAGTCTTATTGTCTATCATGTGTCACATGTATTTTATTAGTGAAAATAGTGTCAATGTTTTGAATCATTAATTACACTTGTTTAAATGTAACATTATTTGTTAATTATTTTTTTGTTTTTGTTTATGAGCTTTACAGTCCGTCTTACCCAGATACTGATGACGATTATAAAAATAATTTTTTTAACAAACTCAATTTCTAAAAAAGTAATAAAGTTATTTATAATATACAATTGCATCTCCTAAATATTAACAATCCTTTTACAGTACGGTTCGAATCTATAGGGCTATTTTCAGTCAAGAAATATAAATCTATTCTATCTTTTTTTAGAGAAATGAGGAAAAATCTTCGATGGTTCTTAAGTTTACTTTTCAAGCTAATCATTGGTTTACACATCATTACATATGATTATTTATCTGAAGAAAAAAAAAGATTTTTTATATACGATATAATAGATGACCGTAAGAAATGAAGTTATACGTCAAGATTTAAGTATCTATATGTTTGTTGTTTTACTATTTAATAATAGAGTAAAAATAAGACAACTATTCGTAAAAAGACAATATATTTTACTTCTTCACTAAGTTTAAACTTTATACATATTTACAAAGCTTTTTCTTTTAACACAGATAGTGGGCGGATAATTCAGATAGTTTATCTCAACTGTTCATTCTACAAAAAAAAATATTACATAGAAGAATTATATGAAAAGAAAAAAAATTTTTGTTTAAAAACAGAAATCAACGGTTAAATCACCAGAAAAAATGTAATATGATGTTGATTTTCTTCAGAAATTTTTTTTCTATTACATATAAACGAATGATCAATAGAAATTCAGTATAGTTGACACAAAACCAATCAAGCGGATGTATTGCAAAATATACATCTCGTGAATCTAAACGAAAAATAGAAAGATGTTTTCTATTCTATAAAAAGTTTGAAATTATTCGAAGTCAAACAAGATATTGACATGGATGATAAAAAAGCATTCTTTTCAATAGATCGAAAACTCATGAAATTATTGTTTTCGAGATGTTGAAAATTCTGATCTTGGATGGAAATTTTGAGATAGCTAATCGATAACTGTGGCATATTCTTCTCAAAATTAAATTGAGGGTATATCTCTCGAAACGAAAACTATACAAGGTCACAAGCATATAGTTTTGAGGAATTAAAATTTGTTTGTCTGCACCTTTTTGACGAAAATCACAGATAAATTTGAACATAGTTCACTCGACTAACTACTTTAGAGGTGGCTACCGAGGATAAATAATTGCACGTGAAAAATACATCAAGTCTGTAAAAAAACATCACTAATGGCAAAAATAAACTAAAATCACCTATAAACCAAAAGAAGCAGACAAACTTGATAAGCAATTTTGAATTTTTTGTTCAAAAACAAATATTGAATAACGAAACAAAGGTATTTATCTTTATAACAGTATAAACATAACAATTATTTCAGCTACAATTTAATGCACACATTTGGTTACTCTCACTCGTAATTTTCGTCATCATTGATCAATGTCTCCAAGGTGGATTTCTTGCAGTCCTAAAAGTAACCACAGTCTTCCCTCAGCTAACGTCAATAGTTATTATTTAAGTTTTAAAACAATAGAAATATCTTCCAAAATGAAAAGAATTTGCTTGTTGGGAACTCTAAGAGAATAAAAATGATGATCTACCAGATGTCAGAATATTCATTATTGCTATCATAACTGACAAGAAGCTTAAAATCAAGTGAAACTATATACAGTCTTCCTGTGGTCTCATCGTTTTTTGGAATATTTTTAATTGAAAGCGTCTTTAGTTTTATCGATGTAAGATATAAATGAAAAAGTATATCTGGCCATTTAGGCATGAGAGCAGAAGTTTTACATTTACATAAAATAAGTTTGCGGATGATGTGTGTATGTATGTACTTACAAGGAAAATCGTCCAGGCTTTTTGGCTGTATTATCACTGTTAATTAACTCTCGTGTTCTTGAACCGCTGATTGGTAAGTATTCTAAAAAGTTTATTCTCTGTCACTGATACGTTTATTCTAACAAAAGCAACCTGTCAAAATAAGTGGATCTGAACAAGTGACACGAAGTTATCTGCTACAGTTAGCCAAATCAGTACGACCTGTTCTAATTGCTAATCGAAAGTATCGGTAACTTTTACGGCATGCTTGATAAACTAAGAGCAACAAAAATCCCATCTACTTACTTTCTTTATTTCGAGGACGATCAACAGGTAATGATTGATATTCTATGCTATGGTCAGCACGTACTAGAGTATTTGTTTTTATGAATCTCGAGTCGTTGATATTTCGACGTGTGTTACTGGAAAAATTATCGGGATTATACAAAGAAGTTTTAGAAGTATTGTTGTTAGCTGCGATACCATTACGATCTTGCACATTTTTAAATGCGCTATTCCGTACTTCTAATGGTAATGATGCACGTCCATTTAAATATTCATTCGATCGGTTGTTCAATAAACCATTACCACTACCAGTACGACGTAACGTTGAGGAAGCAGATCTATCATAACCACTACTATAATCACCGATAGGAAACGATGTCTCTTGAGAACGTTTTGTATCATTTTTATTTTTGGAATGACTTAGATAGTCTGTGTCGGGCTCTATTGGTTTGAATCGAGACGAGACTGTATCTTGTGATAAATGATCGGCACTACTCGGACGAAACGGCAACGATGTATACGCTGGTGAATGATGTCTGTTATTATCAAGACTCGTTAAAGGATGATGATGCCCATTTCTCTCATCGGTATCATATTTCCTTGATAAATTTTCTCTCGAACTAGGACGAACCAAGTGAGAACCAGAACCATAGGTATCATGTGGCAAGTTACGAGTAGTTGTGGTTCTGATGTGTTCATTAGCTTCTTTAGTACGATCAATGTCAATACTTAAATATTGTGCACGATTATTTTTGGACGAATCGCTGCGTTGGTTCACTGCATTTATTCGATTAATTAGATCTTCTGATTTTGTGTCGTGAGCGCGAACTGACAACTGGTCTCTGGAATTGCTTCGTGGATATCGGCTTGCTAAATCGGATAATAAAACGGAACTATTGGCATCTTGACTCGTAGAAGATTCTAAACGATATACAAAGTAAATATTGCATGTAAATATCGCTTTTTTTAATCTGAGTATGGACAGGACTAAAGTCTATTTTTCTGCATAGGAATATTCTAATCAAATTATTGGCTCTTAATCGTTTTAATGTTAATTTTTACGAAATGGCAACATCTTTTTTGGGCTTGTTTCGTTTGTCAAATTTATTTTAAAGAAGTTTGTATTGAATACCTGTGCGCAAGATATTGTAATAACAGCTGTAACAGATGACGACAAACGCAAAACAGACTTACAACAAGTAACAATGACTAAAAAAATTTACTTGGTATTTTCGTTGGATCTGGACGTTTATTTGAACGTTGTTTTCTCTGTTCTTCATATGCAATAATTCTTGGATTTTTAGCACAATCCACCTAGATAAAAAACCATTCATATTTAGTCAAGGTAATTGTAGAAGTCAAAAATAAATAAAAAACAAACTTCATGAATATTTAATTCTTTAGCATCAACTTGTTTTTCACAAAATTCACATGGCATTTTTTCTGTCACTGGTTCATTTTCGATATCACTAAAGCGTCCAAAAACAGTAAAAGTCTATGGTAACCAATATAGATTGATGAAAAAGACTCGTACCGCAATCTATCACGTATATGTTTACGGTCTAAATCAGCACAACGTCTCTATAAAATAAAATAAAAATAACTAGAACCACTCAACTATGGAAATCATATTTTTCTTATTGATGTTTTATTAAAGTAGTCATAAATCTTACCGTATGATTCATGAGTTCTTGTAAACTAACTGGTTCATTGCAAAATTCACATGGAATTTGAACATCATCTTCTATACTTGTTGCTCCTAAAAGAATATAAAACAAGTTAACACTAGATTGAATCATATTTCCTGATGCGCCGCACCCTTTTAAAAGGAACCTGCACTATCGATGTACCGAACTGGTCTATGTTAAAAGAGTGATTTGGCTTATAAAGCGATATGTTACTTACCATTGTTCCTATCTTGATCTGTGTATGTTCGTTTTCGATCATTCATCTTTATTTTTCGGTTTTTTAAACAATATTTCTAAACATATGACTCTTTTTGTAAATTTAGCACCCAAAATTTTCTGATTAACCCACTTTGTGGCCTTCATAATCGGCGAATGCGCAAAGTTGATTACAAAATTCACATGTGATTGTTTGTTCTTGGTCATTTCTACCATCGTTTGGTCTAGCTAAGAACAATTTGATACTAGAGTGAGTTAAGGAATGCAAGTGTCATCAGAACAAAATGAAGAAATGTGTTGATTTGGTATCTGATCAATATCTTTTTTTGATCAACGACATACATCAAGTCGAAGTTTTTCTTACTGTCATTTCGTTGCTGTTTCTTATTTGATGATATGCCAAGAATTTTTCCACTTGAATCTATTTGAAAATTTGTATTATTCATGGGATATTCCATAGCTCTTGTATCATACTCTGATGAACGTCCTCCATGATCGTGATGATGTCTTGATGAATGAGAACTTTGTGGTCTACCATCATCATTAAAAATATCTGAACGTAATGTTCGATCAAATGTTCGCTCTTGAATCGACTCATTTATACGATTTTTCAATGATTGTGATATTTGTGATTCATTCTCCTTATCACTGTCAAAAATAGTTGGACGTGCTATTCGCTCGAATTTTCGATTATCGATGGGACTGTCAATCTTGTTCTGTCGATGGGTTGTTGCAGTTGTAGCTCTTGCAGGAACTGGTGGTGGAGGAGATGGTTCTTTATTTTCTTCGTCTGGATTATGACAGTTATTCTCGTAATGATACGTGAATATAGCTCGAAGAATATATCTGTTACATCGATTACATAACTTAAAAAAACAATTACGCTAAAAAATAAATATTTAAATGTACGATTCCTTTGAAATTATTGCTAATTAACAAAGCTAGTCATATCAATTGGACTTTGAATTTTTCTCAACTACACGCATCTTTAAAAATGGTGTCAAGTATCTCTGAAATAACTACAACTGAAGTACGAAAGTCTTTTTTGCTAGTCATTAGCCAAAAGAATATTCAACATTCTTAACTTACCTGGTGATGTTTAAGCATTTTTTGTTCGTGGAATACTTTTCCACAATCATGGGTACTGGAGGAAGGATCTCTAAAAAAAGAATAATAATATTTTAGGTGGGAGGAATGAAAAAATGTTTTCGAATATACTTACGGAGACGCCATGGCAACCTTAATGCTAACACGCTGTTGTTTTTTTGAACCTACTGCCATGTTGTTGTTATTTGATAAATGATGAAAATTAGCACGAAATTGAGCTTCCAAAAGAGTACGTTTCATTGCTGCAAAAGTTGGTCGATCGTTTGGATCCTGAATCATGCATGTTACGATTACACTCCAGTTGTCGTCAGAACAAGTTTCTGGTAGTTGCAATCGCTCACCGTTCATCACTCGATAAACAATGTCTTTATTATCCATCGAATTCCATGGTAACATTCCAGGGGAATATGCTTCCCACATCAGCACTCCCATCGAATAAATGTCAGATTTCTCTGAGTAAGACTCAACATTATTATTAGCCAGAACTTCTGGCGCCACGTAGCGGGTAGGAACTATGCTTAGCGATGATGATGGACTTCCTGCAATAGAATATAGTGAACTTGCACGACTAAGCCCAAAATCAGTAATTTTAACAAGATTTTTCACCGGATTATTTGCATCAAAACGGAATACAAGAACATTTCGACACGCTAAATCGCCATGAATAATGTTATTATGCGCGAGAAATGTCATTGCGTCGACAATTTGACTGAACATTTCTACAAGAATCATTTCTGTAACTCTATGTTCCTGAATAAATTCATATAAATCCATTTCAGATGCGCTCACAAAAAAAGACGAAAAATCTAGAAAAAGTGGAGGTGTTTGGATGACAATCGGGGTTCCCGACTGTGAGCGAAAAACGCCCATTTTTCGTCCTTCTGGTGCGTTTAAACGCGTTTTCAGCCAAAAACGCGTGTAAATGCATAAAAAAAAGAGAAAAAGTGGTCATTTTTCTCATAGTCGTTACCAGTGACGGGATCATAATTAGGGCTCTCGAGTATGAAAAAAACGACCGCTTTTTAATGCATTTACACGGGCTGAAAACGCGTGTAAACGCACCAAAAGGGGGAAAAACGGGCGTTTTTCGCCCACAGTCGGGAACCCCGATTGTCATCCAAACACGCCCACTTTTTCCAGATTTTTCGTCTTTTTTTGTGCGGTTAAACGCGCTTTCGAAAAAGTTTGTCTGCTTGGGTAGGGTCCCATTACTGATATAATGTAACCATCTCTTGATACAATCATCAACGGTTTGACTAATGGTTTTCCTTTATGAAGTGAATACGTTCGACGTTGTAGTAAATTGTTAGCCGACTTCTGGTTATAACAGTATGTTCCATCAAGGATTATTATAGCCTTGTTAGGATCATATCATCTAAAAGAATTTTTGCAAGTGGTCGAGTGTGATTGTCGACCACCTTTTGTCTCTCAATATGGTCAAATCCTAAATGTTTAGGAACAAAGTATCTTGTAATGGCAGTACAGGCACTGTCACGAATTCTGGTCATTTTACGTTTATCTTCAACAGAAATAAAGTACATAATGCTTGATGACTTAAACCAAGTCTTAATTTGACTAGAAGACAAGCAATAGCTGTTCTTGGTGATCTAATATTAGTATACCTCAAGGCTGAAGGAGTATCTTGGAACAAAGATCGTTAAATTGATCATGAGTTAATCCAGTCAACACATGATAATTTGCATCTGACATTGATGTGTCATCATCATCAAAATTTAATCGTGAATTTTGGTTCGATTTATTGATTTTACAATCTTTAGTTTTTAATTCTTCTTTCATTTCATTTAAGATTATCATTAATTCATTTCTTTTGATTGTACAATAATTTAATTGATTCTGTTTAATGTTTTGGATTAATTTTGTTTTAAGCATATTATCAGTGTTATGACTCGAGCAACGTCTGCTTTCAATCGGTATATATATAATGATCTAATAAACATTGCCCACGTATGCTTTGATTAATTTCTTGAGAAGTATTTTTACCAGAAAAATTCTTTTCACATATCGAACATTTTTTATGAGACTTGGATACTCGATAAAAAGGTAATTCGATAGAAGTCTTTCCCAATGAATCAGTAAAATTCGAAGTAGCTGTTGAACATGGTGTAGAAAGATTAATACTAAATACCGTGTTAGAACTTGTTGTTGTTGTTGTTGTTGTTGTTGTTGTTGTTCCAAATTGATTCATAGTGGTATCTGTGAGGAACTCTGTCTGAGTGCCTACATCAATTTTTTCCAGATCGATATCCATTATCGTTTGATCATCTTGATTGTGTGTCGTTTCAATTGCAGCATTTCTTTTATTATTATGATATAATTCCATATAACACACATTATGTAAATAGAAATGAATTAATTTATTTGCCATTGCAAAGTCGTATACAGTTTGGTAATTTTCCAATGAACGTATTCTTTCTTTATCACGAAAAGTTTTTTCACACAAACAACACGAATGTTTATTTGATTTCTCCATTGAAAAGTGTTGAGAAACTAATAGCTTGACAAATGTTGGCACCTAGAAGTAAAAGATAGTCCCACTAGGACTGTTGGGTTTGAGATTTGTAAGAAAAGTCGATTAATCTAGACTGATTATTTTGTTTTCAGTAAGTAAATTAATGAGAGAGAGGCCTATCGACAGAACCAGTTTCGGCCCTTCCCAGAGACCTCCTCAGAGGGATTTGCAAGAGAGTTTTTCAATTACACGAAAATATCATTTTAAATGAAGAGAAAATTCAAAAAAATCTATATTTACAATATTTAACATCGAAAAAAAATTGATTTGGCCGATAAAGTACTCTGAAAAAATGAAAATAACCTGATTTTATCAGGTTTTATCCAACTTTCACTATTTTCCGCAACTTCTTTTAAGTTTCAAGGTCATATTCGGATAGAGCATGAAAAAATACGTCGATCTGCATATATAACTCATTGGATCAAAAACTCGTCATAAAAAAATTGGCCTACATTGAGAACAGTATACGTCGTTTTTCCTGTTTTTTTCAGTTTTTAGCCAAATAAACTGGAATTATTACCTCTGTTGAGCCCTCAATCTGATTGGAATTGATGGAACAATCGTTTCTAGATATATATAAAGTATTATTACTATTATAAACGGACTTTTAGGGTTGGAAGACAGTGATTTCTGAACAAAAAGGTAACAAAAATTATCTTTGTCAGAGGAGGCAGTTTTTTCAACGGCAAAAAAAAAATATATATACCGTTTTGTTCAGAATTTAATGCTGGTTCTAACCATATAGTTTTTTTCCTTAAATGTTTTGGGCGAAAAAATGACCTTACCGCCACTTGTCCTTTATTTTGCTTAGAATGTCTGAAAAACTTCTAGGAAATCTATTTAATTGAATACCGTCACTTTGTCAGATCTTTACATTTAATTTTTTGAGCTCTTTCTTGGACTCTGCTACGTTATCTTTAAAAATAGTTAAAATTTCAAAGTTTGAAATAGAAACTAAAACTGGAGTTTTCGCGCTGGAGAGTCGAATTATTTCTCAAAATGTAGCCTGCACAACATTTAAATAGAATAATCGATTCGTAATACATATTTTTAAATGATTTTAGAACCAATAATAGGAATAAGGAATATTTACGAGCAGCAGCCATAACTGATAAATAAAATTAACTATTTATTCTTTATTTATAGTACATATTTTTAACGACAAGAGATTCTTTTAAAAAAATTATTTATCCTACTTTACGGCGTGCCCAGCTAACTCTGCTACCACAAGGGAATTCTGTAATGTTTCTTCTTCATTTTATTGTGTCGATATATACTAAATCAAGTCACACAGAGTCGCGATACGTCTTAAATTGAAGAGAAAAGTCTTGTGAACATTTTAAGACATATCTGCACTCTAGAAAATGTCTCTTTCTGCACATCTTAATAAAGTATAGAGTACTTCGATTTAAACTTTCTAATGTACACTCCTATTATAATTCCGCTAATGAACCGAGCCATCATCAAGAAGCTGTTGGGATGTAAAGGATGAAGAAACATATACTTAACTCTTTCTTGAAAAATATTCTTGAATTCTCAAGTAAGCAAGCCACTTATATTTTGAACTTGTTTAGATAAAATATTGTACAACAAAACATAATTTTCTATGCCGGACGCTAGCTCGACCGTCTTTTACTTATAGCCGGAAGAACTGGTCTTCGAGTATGAATACCAGTTGATCAAAAGTTTTCTCCATACCCAGCTGTTTACTACGAGCAATTCATATACCTTTGTACAGTTTTCCATTGTCTTTTTTCTGTACGAAGGATTTGCTATAGCTCTAGCTTAGATTTTCATGAAAATCACCTTTTCGAAAACCTGAATGCATTTGACGTACCGGCACAAAATCAGGATGAAAGCTTTTCTGTAAGGTTTTTAAGGCTTGGCTATACTGGAAAATGCTTACAAACATTTTATCCACAAATTTTGATTAAAAGGAACCTGAAACATCAGGGACAGATTTTAGTTAAAATTGGTCTTTCTGATTTCTTCAAATCATAGCTGAAATGATTTGTGCCATGCTATATAAAAGAAATCTCAATAAATATTTGCTTCCGATTCAAACCATGTGTACTTTTATTAAGGTTAGGAGATAAGCGACAAAATGTACCACTTTATGTATTAACAAACGATTTTAGATATTTATATAGAATAGAAAATGATAAGAAAAAAAGCTTGAGTTTCAAGTCGTAAAGAAAAAACAGTAAGATAAAATACGGGAATGTTAAAAATCGTGGAGTATAATCACTGCAGTGGAAATTATGCAATAAAGTTGGTGGTTGAAAAGCCGTGAACAGCATAACCGTCCCCAGTCCACTTTCCTATCGCATATCACGCCGCGAGTCTCTTTACAAATTCGCAGCGAGATCGCGTTCGCTGTAAGATTCGCGAAAAAAGACGCGGTTTTCTCGCGCTCATAGAAAAGTCAATCCTAATTCCTTAAATATTTTACCGCGATTACTATTTATTCGTGTTTTTCGTTCACTAACAATAAATGAGTCACGCTACTCTTACCGCGAACGAGGATGATTCGCAAACTCGCGACGCAGCTACGCGAGACGTATATTAGTTACGGCACGATTCTTTTTTTTGAACTACCACCCTTATCCATTTCTGACAGTGATTAACTACTAAAATGCGAAAAGATTTTGAAAAGTTTTCGAAAATCAGTGTGAGGTATACACTAAGCATCTAAGTAAAACGCTGAGCAGGATTTGTACCGAAGTCGTGACTGTAAGAGAAGAACGTGATAGCGACGTGAGCTGAGTGAATGTAACGGGATCGCGGAGCAAAAACCGCGTATGCGCGGCGAATGACGCAAGAAAATCGAGTTATTGGGTGTAATTGAAAAACATTGCGGATTACAGGAGAGATTCTTAGTTCTTGATTTTAAGAAGTATAACAAAATCGTACCGAGAGACTTATAGCGGATCGCGCAGCGAATTCAAGAAAAAGGCGCACCGTAGTTTTAAAAGTTAGCCAAAAAATTATCTTAATTCGAGTCGTGGCGTGACTTTGCGATACGAGCGCGACAATCACATCGCGATCGTGAATCACAAATTTTTTGTAAAATAAGAATTGGTTGCAATCTCGTCGAGACAACAGCGACTTCTTAGCGATCACGGAGTGAGACCAACGTTCACGCTACGAATGAAGCAAGAAAGGCGACTTGGAGAAGACAAGTGAAATAGATCCGAAAAGCTCAATGTACCATTTCCATAACAACATAGCGTTTATATGATACAGTGGCATAGAGCTCCATTTTAAAGTTAAAGGTACTCCTCTCTTTTTCCATGTTGTTGAGAAATGTGAAGTAAACGTTCGATTGAGTTTAAATTCATACCAGAGATAGAACATCGATGTATTTTGGTGCAAAATTTTTTTGACATGTTCGTCTATGAGTTTTCTGGAATCCCTCGATTTTCATGCGTGTATGTTACTACCCTATCAAAACTTCAGCCGATCGTGCTCAAAGGTTTACACAGATATCTGGGATCGTATCGCAGAACTTCTTTTTGGCTTCTGAATTTTCCTTTTCAAGATATGAAAAGAATAACCTGCGTAAACCTCGATTTTTGATTCTGAAAACCCTATAAAACGGAAAGAAAAACTCACAGGTCAAAAACAAAAAATTGCATTCTGAGATATATTCTCGAATATCTGTGATAAACTTTTGAACACAATCGGATGAACTTTGGATACAGTCACCCTAGTGAATGTACTTCAGACCAAGTGCTTGGGCACTTGCAGATTTCGAAAAGTACTTTTTGAAGTACTTGGAAAATATTTTTATAAATCAGTACTTCATAAATGTTTGCTTCAGTACTTATGAAAATTCCTAAGTATGTTAAGATTTGATAAGTATCTAGGTTACTTTTAATAGTACTTGGTAAAGTACTTGCAAAGTGCTTACAAAGTGCTGTTGTAATCAATTTCTATTAAATCGGGAAATAATGTTAGCACTGAACGAAAGAAACTATGAGTCGACTGAGAGTCGAAGCCAGGATCATGATATTCCGTGTCAATGCTTTAACCAGCTACCGAGTCACAGTTTCATCATATTCCCTTTCTTAAGAACTTTTCTTACGTAACAAGTGCATACAGAGAAAGTGAGTTATTCTTCCCCCGCGCTAGAACAGTGCGTGTCGAAAAAGCGGACATCGCACAGGGAGCAATCGAGAAAACTTATTAGTCATTATCTGGCGTTTTACTTTTCTAAGTCAGATTATATACAGCCTACTTGTCTTTCCTCTCTTTTCTCATATCACATAGATGTTTACTTGTCGTTTTGGATTATTTTTCTTTGTGATATTATACGCCATAAAATTTTTAAAAGAATAGATTTACTTATTATAGTTAGTTGGAGATTATATGACAGCGAACAGCATTCAGTTTTCTTTAATTAAGAGTTTGTCTAATAAGATTAACTTTTTAAATAACTAAATATGGATGAATTCAAAAGAGTCAGGGCTTGCGGGTTTGAAATATTTGCTCGAATGAAATTTCCTCGAAAATAATTTGCTTGAATGAAGCTTTCTCGAACAGAATTTGCTCGAATAGAAACCTCCTCAAATTTTCTAAACAGAAATTATCAATATTATTTGCAGCGTTTTTCTACAACTTCTAAATCAAAACCCTTACTGGATTGAATACAGAACAACAAATAATAAAATAGCTGCTATAGCTCGTAATATCCATTTATAAATTTTATGTTTCAAATAAAGCAGTTTCATTGACAGATAACTGAAATAGGCTCAGTCGTCTTGTTGGATTTATTTGGAGCTGAAGTAATTTTTTGTGTTCATCTTTAATATGTTCTATACACTACAAATAATATTGATAATTTCGGTTTGAAAAAGTTGAGAAGGTTTCCATTCGAGGAAATTCTGTTCTAGCAAATTTCCCCAATCAATCTGGTATTGTACACAGCCGGCTTAATTGCATGATGCAAGGTCTAACTATTAGGAGCAGATCCGCATTTTAGCTCAAAATGGTAACTTTACTAGATAAGTAGTTGCCCAGTACTTCAAGTATTCGAAGAGAAGAATATGACCGGACCGGTACTTGTCCGATACTTAGAAACCATCTGAAATTTCCAAGTACTTATCATATAACTTGTTCTTGTACTTTCTTAAGTACTTGTCAAGCTAATCAAGTTCTTGTATCCCTTAAATCACTTGATAAGTGCCTTTTTTACTTCCAAAAATTCCAGGTACTCTGGACATTACTTACCCAAGCACTTACCAAGGTACTATCTAAGTACCTGGTCTCAAGTACATTCACTAGGGCATCATGTTCATAGATTGGAACACTACTGTTTTGAGCATTATAAGTAACATCAGACAAGGCAGTTTTTCCAGAGCATTTGCGACAATGCTTATATCTCCACGAAAATCGACTGGAAATTTTTGTAAGACGTATCATTATATACAGGACACTTTGCTCTATCAGATTATATATAAAAATATTTTTTGAAGGACCTTAAAAAGGCGAGAAAACCAAACTTGAACCAAAACTTAAAAAACTAGTAGCATAATGGAAGTGATCTTATTTTGTAGCCCAGAATTTTCTCCACATTAGTCTCTTTTCAACCCAAAATCGAAAATTTTTTCAAAAAATAAGGGATACCGTTAAATCAATGAACATGGTTTTACGAAGTATAGTCGTAGCATATTTACAATTGGTGATTCAGTTGACTCTGTTTGTTTTACGACTTTACATAACTGCAATTAATTGTAATTCTTGCGGAAAAGTTATTCAGGTATGTATTAGAAAACTAAGTTGTCTGTATATTTATTTATTGAGGGTTATATTCATTGATAGTGGAAATGTGTACACATACTCTAAATCAATCAGTGTGTATCACGTCATAGTTTTCGTATGTTTAATAATATAGTCTGAAAAAGAACGAAAAAATACCGCATTCTTTCATGTCTTCACCTAGATGAAGAATGCTGAAAAGCTGAAGAAAGGACATAATAAGAATTCGTTGTTTAGTAATAAATACAAAAGGATTAAAAAAACAGATTAACGAAGAGATTTTAAACGAAAATTTTATTTGACGTGTTTGTACTAAGTAATATCAGCTGTAGATAGATAGAACTAACGATAAAAAGAATAAATGACGGATATTCGATACATGTTAAGAACATTATTCATCAAAATGATCTTTTTTTTTCATACAAAAAATGGCAAAGAACAGAATACACAAAAAAAAAATATATTTACCACTACTTGCACTAGCGACGATTAGGTATAATTTTGTATTTCTCTTCTGTTTATTTGTGATAGTAAAATTGAAGACATCTTAAACATTTTATGCATGTACAAAATGAAATAACATTGATCATGTAGAGAGTAACAAGGATACTAGTTTAGTGCTTTAAAGTGTAAGGTTAAGGCTCTACTCATCAATAATTCTTGCGAATAATCTTCTATTTAAAATAATTTTTAGGAAAATCTGTTCGATTCAAATGTCATGTATTCGACCACCGAGATTTATTTTTTATTTCACATTTATTTGACGTTTGTTACAAATAAAATAGCCAAAACTAAAAAGGATGATGAGGACTAAAATACAAAATTAATATTATACAGTGTTGTATATGAGTATTCTGTATGATATGTCGTTGTCGTGACAAAGCTATGCAAGAATTATAGAGCGGCTTAATATTTAGTCTTACAGGTGATTTGTTCCGCATGTCAGTCTATTGGTTCAATATGTTCATGCTATTTATTTATTTTGACATTTCTTTTTATTACATAAAAAATATTAACAATATACACCTAACATGCACTCTAAAAAACAATGTGTCTTAAAATAAGGTCCCATAAGTTGCTTGACGGTGAGACCCATACATAGGTCTCAAAATAAGACGGATCAAAAGATCTTATTTTGAGACCTATGTATGGGTCTAATCGTCAACCGACTCATGGGGCCTTATTTTGAGACTGATCAATTTATCTGTCTTATTTTTCATGGTAGTTCGAATGTTAAGATAAGCTCATCAAAGTGGGTCAGTAGTTTCAATCTAGTCGTTAATATTTTATAAGGAAAAAATGATCACATTCTAATTGTATTTCATTAAATCCTCGGTTCTCTATATACAAGTAGTCAATGAGAAACAAAAGAGATGAGTGATTTCTCGTGCATCAGACGGCAAAAATAAGACCTTTTTCTCCGATCTTAGAAATAAGACAGCAGAAAAAAAGTTAGGTCGATACCGGAGTAAGACCGACAGAATAAGACTTTTCAAATGTTTCTCTGATCGTCAAATAGAAGCCTCATTCAACATCATACAAACCATAAGTCAGTAGCAACCCTATACTAAAATCTCTCTCATTCATATCAGATTACTGATTCTCCCTTGTTATTCACAGATTTTTTCTCTTTCATACATAAAAAGCTCAAAAGTATCTTTATTCCAAGAAATGTCATCCGTTTTTTATCTTTATTTCAGATCACGTTCTTATCGATCGGTTGACGAATCGGATGGATATTATTCTACATAAATAGCCAAAGAATTTTGAATTAGATAAAGTGAAAAGTGTGCCTCGTTTTTAACCCCTGTACTCTATTTCTGTGGTATTCGTGTGGTTTTAGCTCTCCTGTATGGACTATGGCTTTAATTTTACTACTTTCGATATTTCTATTTTGCAATCAAATCCAATACTCCCATCATTTTCTAATACCTAGTCGTGAAGAATTGTTACTAGTACCATCGGTAGCATTTCGTTATCATTCTCCAGAATTACCTTCAACATCTAATGCCAAATCAACTGACGATTGGGTTCTCTATGCACAAGGTGAGTTTAACTCTTTGGTGCCCCGGCACCAAAGGGCTAAAGAACTCGACTATTATGATAAACGTACATCAATGTTTAAGGCTGGTATTTTGAGCAGAATCCAATTCGTTCATTACTCGCACGATCAGTTTTATCGACAACCGTTTCAAATATAAAAGAAGAACGTGTAGCTTATTTTACGGCTAGTGGTAAACGATATCGTCCGTTATGTCTAGAAGGCTTAACAACGCAACTTTGTACAAAAACCAATGAGGAAGGTCTCGTATCTACACAATTTCGTATATCAAATGATAATATTGAAAAATTTCGACAGCCTGGCGGTGTTGGAGGTAAAGTTCTATTTCAATTATCAACAATAAACAGTCAACAATATGTAAAATCGACGGGTGAAATATATCTATGTGACGATAATGGTATTTCCTTTATAAGTGATATTGATGACGTGAGTGATTTCTACTTTTTACATAATCATTCACCTGATCTAAAGGTGAATTCCCATTTCGTCGAAAGCTCAATTGATATTCCTGTTTCGTCGAAAAAAATTTTAGAGCTTTTTGTCTAGTGTTCCTGTTTCATCGAAAAATAAAACTAGAAGTAGAATATAGATTATGCTGATTAATAAAGTATTTTTAAACAAACTAATTAAAAAGAATTATTATTATTAAACATTGGTGTAAATGATGCCAGTTGCGGTGCAGTGCAGTTGTGTGTACCCAGGTGATTGAATCGTACTATCCGATCGTACAAGATCGTATACGAATCGTACGAAATCATATACGATTATGTACGATCTATATACGAATCGTGGTACCTGATTTGTCGTCTGGCTAGTACTGTACGATTTCATACGAAGTTGTATGATCGTATATGATCTTGTACGATCGTATTATACGATCCAGAGGACAAATCAGATACCACGATTCATATATGATTTTCATACGATTTGGTAC